GTTTTGTTTTGTTTCGAGACAGGGTTTCTCTGTAGCTTTGGAGCCTGTCCTGGAACTTGCTCTGTAGACCAGGCTGGCTTCGAACTCACAGAGACCCACTTGCCTCTGCTTCTCGAGAGCTGGGATTAAAGGTGTGTGCCACCTCCACTTGGCTGTGCATGGTGTTGAGATATGGTGTTGCTACATACTCTGATCTCTGACCTCAACTTGTGGTCCTAGGCTGTTCCTAAGATCCGAAAGGTGCTGGGATTACAGGTGTGCACTGCCCTATCTTTCCTTTCATAGGGACATTACCCTTCCCCCTATGCTTTTCAGAAATATTTACATCCATTAACCTCATTTTGTCAAAGCTAGACCACTGTAGAGTTAAGCAGCCCGCCTAGAGGCAGAGGAAGTGGAGAAGAAGCTGTGATTCTAATCCACTGTGTCTGGGCTGCCAACCAGTTTATTCCTCTCCATCTGCTGAGTCCCAAAGGGATCCGATCTTTCTTTGCACCCAGTACTAGAGATTAAACTAACAGCCATATGCATGCTAGACAAGTATTTTACCACTGAAGTATCTGTCCCTCACATGAGGATTCTAGCCTGGTTGGTATTCTACCACTAGAAGCCACCCACAAACCCTCCCTGGGGAATTACAAGCAAATGTTCTACTTCTAAGCTACAGCACCAGCTCTCTTTATTTCTCATTTTGAAATAAATGAGAAAAAGATTTCTCATCAGAAATCTTGCTGAGATACCCAGGCTGGCCTTGAACCTGCAGCTCTCTTGCCTCAACTTCTTGAGTGCTGTAGTGATTTCAGGCATAGCTCACCAAGTCAGGCCTAACTATCAATTAATGACTTCACACCTGTGGGTTCAACCACTGGACCTGAATACTTGTAAGTCCTTTAATCATCTTTCCTTTATCCATCAGCTTTCTCTGCACATTAAGAATTGGTGGGGATGGGGCTGGAGAGATGGCTCAAAGGTTAAGAGCACTGACTGCTCTTCCAGAGGACCTGAGTTCAATTCCCAGTACCACATGGCAGCTAACAACTGTCTGTACCTCCAAAATCTGACACCCTCACTCAGACATACATGCAGGAAAACACCAATGCATATAAAATAAAAAATAAATAAATTTTAAAAAGAAAGCAATCTGGGCAGTGGTGGCGAACACCTTTAATCCCAGGACCCAGGGAGGCGGAGGCAGGCAGATCTCTGTGAGTTCAAGGCCAGTCTGGTCTACAGAGCAAGTTCCAGGACAGGCTCCAAAGCTACACAGAGAAACCCTGTCTGGAAAAAACAAAACAAACAAAGAATTGGTGGGAAGCCGGGCGGTGGTGATGCATATCTTTAATCCCAGCACATGGGAGGCAGAGGCAGGTGGATCTCTGCGAATTCTAGGCCAGCCTGGTTTACACAGTGAGTTCCAGGACAGTCAGGACTGTTTCACAGAGAAACCCTTTCTCAAGGGAAATAAGAATTGGTGGGAAACTCTCCAGAAGGTGCGGTTGGCAGTCATAATGTCCTCTCAGAGAACTTTGTCCCTCCTCCATACCTCTAACTCCAAGCTAGTTCATCTCTTCCTGGCAGACACCCAAGCCTTTTGCCTTCAACTCCATGCTATGGGCTCCACCCATGAAAGGGGTCCAAGGTCCCTGAGAGTGCTTGGCAGCCATCAAAAAACAGGAGGAGCCAGCAGCTTCCCTCATCTTTGAGAAACGGGAAGCTGAGGCACTGAAAGATTATGAGCTGAACCAACTGGCACGGGTTCCTAGACCCAGGCTTCCCATCTCCCCAGCCCTCAACCACCCTGGCCCTGAGTTGTTGCTGCCCCCTCCTGGTTACTCCAGAAGAAACTCAGTTCCACCCCATGGTGTCGGGTATGGTGGTGCACGCCTATAATCCCAGCAAACCAGAGGCTGAGGCAGGAGGATCAAGAGTTACCTCAAGCCTGTAGACAAGAGCTAGTTCCAGGACAGTCTCCAAAGCCACAGAGAGACCCTGTCTCGAAAAAAAAGAAAAAGAAAAAGTCATCCTTAGCAACATAGCAAGTTGGAGGCCAGTCTGATTTATGTGAGACCTTGTCTCAAAAAAAAATAAAATAAAATAAAAAATAAAAGAAAGAAAGAAAGGAAGGAAGAAAGAAAGAAAGAAAGAAAACAAAAAGGCAGGGGTGTAACTCATCTGGTAGAGCCTAGCATTCCTGAAGCTCCAGTGAGATCAATATCCGTGCTTGCTAGAGTCCATCAGAGGCTGGCTTGTGGACTGTTGACATTCTCTCAGAAAGGGAGAGGATGGGAGGAGTCATTTTCCACAACCTCCCAACCATTTGTTTGCAATTCTGCCTTAATGGCATGTGGCCTGGGAAACCATCACCCATGCTCTCTGTGATGCAGCCCAGTAAACTCACTGGTTCCCCTCAGGTGATATTTAGTAGATCCTACTTTGGTTTGTTCTTGGACCACAAGAAGAAGGGGCAGATGTTAATTGCATCCCCCAGGGAAGGAATTTTGGCAACACCTGGGTTGCTTCCCCAGCACCATATAAATCAGGCCTGGTGGTGTGTGCCTGTCAAGCTGGCCTAGAGAGATGGAGACAGAAGGATCAGAAACTTAAGGTCATGCCCAGCTATTTAACAAGTAGGAGGCCAACCTGCCAACCTGGGCTACATAAGGCCTGTTTTGTTTTGTTTTGTTTTTTGTTCTTTTGGGTTTTTTTTTTTTTTTTTTTTTTTTTTTTTTTTTTTTTTTGGGTTTTTTTTTTTTTTTTTGGGTTTTTTTTTTTTTTTTTGGTAGTTTCAACAGTGGGAGCTGAGCAGGGAAAGAGGGGTTGCAGGGTGAGGGAGCCAAGACTGAGCAAAACAGATAAGAGGGGAGGTTGACATGGATCCTGAAGGGGAAGTTGCTAGGAGATTTAGGTGGGAACGCATGCCTGCTGAGGGGTTGTATGGACGGAAAAGACTGACATGCACTCCCCTGCACTCCACAGGGTATGTCCAGGGCTGCCGAGCCCTCATGATCACCGCCATCCTCCTGGGCTTCCTGGGCCTCTTCCTAGGCATGGTGGGGCTGCGCTGCACCACTATGGGCCACATGGATCCTTCCAGGAAGGCCAAGGTGCTGGCCGCTGCGGGGGCCCTCCACATACTCGCTGGTAATGGGGGAGAAAGGGTATGCGTGGATTGGGGCGGCCCTCCCCACAGCTCCTGGCTTCTCTGTCCTCATCTGCTCTCTGACCCCTGCCTTCTCTTAACTTATCTCTCCCTACCCTGTCTGTATTCTGCAAATTTCAGTGTCCAAGAGTAGGGTTGCCCCTGCTCCCAGCTGAGCCAAATCCAAGGCAGGCCTGAGAGGCTACTTCCTTAAGTCCTGACAGACTTACGGCTGTCAGGGCCCACAAACACCCCCCACACACACACACACACACACACACACACACACACACACACACAAAGAGTTAACAGTGCTACAGATGGCCTATTACTGTCTGGCTTATATTTCTGCACACATTCCTTCACAATAGACCATGCAGAGCTGGGTGAGTCAAGGCACTTTGATCCATGGATCCTGGGGTGGATGGGAAGAACGAACTTCTGGAAGTTGTCCTTGAACCTCCACATGAGTACTGGCACTCACACACAAATAATAAAATAAATAATAGTAATAATAGTAATTTTTAAAAATCCAGGCAGGGTATTTCCTGTTGTCTAGATCTGAAGGTTTGGAAAGGTCCCTTAGCCAGTGTGACAAGCAATGGGTGACAACCCACAGGGATGTCTGGGGCAGGAAAGACTTTTTGGCCAGCTGGGCATTCAAGAAGGGTATTGTTACCATCATGATCAAGTTCATTTTCTCTGCCAGTTAAAGAATTAAAAGGCAGGGAACACCTCAAGCTGGACAGGTAGCAGATGAGAAATCTTGAGCACAGCAGATGAATCAGCCGTTGAAGAAAGTCGTTTATTGGGGACGAGGAAACACATGCCTGCAGCAGACACACAGAAAGACTCTGCACAGAGCAGAGGGAGAACTGAGAAGCCAAAGGTCCAGTGTCTTTTTGAAGGCAGGACTTTTAAATCTGAAGAGCTTTTCTCAGCTAGGGTTGGTCAGTTTGAAGAAAGACAGGATGACTGATTGGTCCTCAACTGTTGTGTAACGTGTCCTGATCCAGCATTGAACTGTTGAGCCAGTTCACCTGTGGACAGCTGCTGGCAGGAGAAAAATAAAGTCTACAAGGCCTCTGTTTTAAGCTGCCAGGATTTTGTCTCAAGTCCAGAAGGGAGGGAAAGCCAGCCATCCTCGAAGTTCACCATCTTTATTACATAGGCATGGCCACTCTCCTTGTCTCCCAGAGAATCTTGTCTACGTCCTAGTCCCTCAGTATATTTGAGGGCTAATGTGCACAGAGTCTTGGGTCCCATCCCCAGGAAAGTAAACTGTGTGGTGGTTCATGACTATAATCTCAAGATGTAACAGGATCACTGTCATGCTGGGCTATGTGGTGAGTTCAAGGCCAGCCTAGACTTCATAAGATCATCTTTAAAAATGTAAGATATCCAGCACTTGGGAGGCAGAGGCAGGCAGAGCTCAGTGAGTTCCAGGCTAGCCTGATCTACAAAGGGAGTTCTAGGACAGCCAGGACTATTATGCAGAGAAACCCTGTCTTGAGGGGTGGGGTTGGGGAGTTAGATATCCTAGGACTCAAGTAGCCTGAAGACTACAGTTTGAACATGTCTGGAACACAGGCTGGAACAGAAAAAAGGAACTGTTACTTTTGGACACAATGTCCCATTCCTTAACCCCCTCATAGCTCACTTGCTTTGAGAGGTTGTGACTGCAAGAAGGGTCCTTAGGAAAATCCTCTATCCTTTTCTCCAGGGGCCTGTGGGATGGTGGCTATCTCCTGGTATGCTATCAACATCACTACTGACTTCTTCAACCCGTTGTATGTTGGAACCAAGTAAGTAAGGAACCAACCCTGCCCTTGGGGACAGTGGGTAGGTCTTGGCCCAGCCCCTGTGGGCTGGCACTTACCTCTTCCACTCCTCCAGGTACGAGCTGGGTCCCGCCCTCTACTTGGGCTGGAGCGCCTCCCTGCTCTCCATTCTGGGTGGTATCTGTCTCTTTTCCACCTGCTGCTGTGCTGCCAAGGAGGACCCAGCCACCAGGTGAGGAGACGAGTGAAGGAGGAGTGGGTCAGGGACTGCAACATGCTGTGACCACCTGTGACCCTGCCCTCCTCTTACTCCCACAGGGCCAGGCTTCCCTATAAGCCCTCTACAGTTGTGATACCCAGAGCCACCTCAGATGAAAGCAACATCAGCTTTGGTAAATATGGCAAGAACGCCTATGTTTAGGAGCTCTGGCCTGGTGGACACCATTTTTTTGTCTCACAGTCCCCAATGGAAAAGTGTCCCCAGGATCCCTGGACCAGTCTCCAGTTAATAACCTCAGGACAGACCATTTCCAGGCTCCACCCTGTGCCTGGAAGCCATGACCTGCTCTGGATATACCTTATCTGGCACTCCAGCCTCTCCCAGGGACAGAAGCTGGGGGGCAACTCGCATGGCCTCCTACAGCTGGACCCAAGGGGACAGAGGTGTCTGCAGCTTGTGACACCATATAAATACATGCTTAAATAAATGTATATTGTGATTGTTCGGGGGCTTCAGGGCTCATGAGGTTGCAGCCAAGTAAGGGGTTCATTGTCATACCATAGGCTGTCAAGACTGCCCACTTTCGAGCTGCCTCATCCAGTGAAATAATGTGCCAAGGAGCTGGGGCAAGGGCTCAGTGAGTAAGAGTGTTTGCTACACAAGCATGAAGACATGAGTTCAAATCCCCAGAACCTATGTAAAAAGTGGTGCCTGATCACACTCCGGTAACCCCAGTGTTGGGGAGGCTCTCTGAGGCTTACTGGCTTCCAACCTAGCTCCAGGTTCAATGTGAGATGCTGTCTCAAAGGAATAAGGTGGAGAGTGATAGAGCAGGCCACTGGAAGCCCTCCTTGACCTTTGCAGGCACACAGACTTGTACAGACAACACATACATGCACTTTTTTTGTTGTTTTTGTTTTTGGTTTTTTTAGTTTTTTGAAACAGGGTGTCTCTGTGTAGCTTTGGAACTCACTCTGTAGACCAGGCTGGCCTCAAACTCACAGAGATCCGCCAGCCTCTGCCTCCTGAGTGCTGGAATTAAAGGCCTGTGCCACCGCCGCCCCACTGCATGCACACATTCTTAACAAAAGGTGTTGCAAGTACCCACTCAGGGAATATCACTAGCTGGGACGCTGCTGGCCAGCTGAAATTCTCTTTTGACCTGTTTTCTTACAGCTGCACATTGTTTGTGTATGTGTTTGAACTAGATTTGGGGTTTAATAAAGATATTTTAAAAGATGCATTATTTACATGTATATATGTGCCTGTGCCTTCGTGTGTTTCTGCACACCATATGCCTGCAGGTGCCTAAACATACCAAAAGAGGGCACCAGATCCTCTGGAACTGGAATTACAGGTGGTTGTAAACAGACCCCTGTGGGTGTTGGGAATGGAATCCTGATCCTGTCAGAGCTGCAAGGACTCTTATCTGCTGAGCCATCTCTTCAGTCCCTTAATAAAGATATTTTTAATATAGGTGGAAGCTTGAGGGTCAAGAATGAGGACCTCACAAGAAAATGATACCCAAGAGTGTGGATGCTGGTGGGTTTTTGTTGTTGCTGTTGTTTTTTGAGACAGGGTTTCTCTGTGTAACTTTGGCTAGCCTTGAACTCACAGAGATCTGCCTGCCCCTGCCTCCCCCAGTGCTGAAATTAAAGGCATGCGCCACCACTGCCCAGCAGATGTCAGCATTTTAGTTAGAAGTCTTACTAAGTAAGACAGCAAAATATGGTATGGGATCCTCAAAAGGGAGTCCCAGTGTCTCGTTTGCTTCACCTGAGCCTGAGTGTGCTCACGGAGGCTGGGCTGGGCCTGGTGTGCACAGGTTTCCATGGGAAAGCCGCAGTATCTTCCAAAAAAAGGCAAAGTAATTTTCTTTCAAGTGTGAGGACCTGAGTTTTATTTCCAGCATTAAAAGCAAACAAACAAAAAGGCTAGGTATGATGTATGCAGCACTGGGGAAATGGAGACAGGGACTCACTGGCTGACCAGGCTAGCAAGACTAGTGTCCTACAGGTAAAAGTGACAGACTCCATCTCAACAGATAAGGTGGAAGTGACTGAGGAGCGGCTCTGATAAACACCATGACCTTTTAATTCCCAGGTCACACTCCATCACTGGGGGAGGACAAGGCAGGGCTCAAGCAGAAACCACAGGCTGCAGCTTGCTTGCCCTTTCCAGCAGTATGGATAGAGTCTGAGCCCACCAGCCTAGGGATGGAAATGCCCACAGTGGGCCCGGCCCTCTGGTATCAATTAGCAGTTAAGAAAATACCCCCACAGATGTGCCCACAGGTCAACCCTGACCCACCCAGTCCCCAGCTGAGACTCCTTCAGATAATTTTGGGCTGTGTCAAGTTAACAGCAGAAGGAAGCTACCTAGAACACTCACAGTTGATATGCACCCATCATGTATACATACACAAATGCTTACACAGCACACACACATAAATCAAAGGAAAAAATAAAAGAAAACAAAGCCAGTAGACAGAAACCTCTAATCCAGTGGAAGGAGGGGATGGGACTCCAGCTGACTAGGAG